GAGTAAAAGTCATAAAACTGTTCACAAAAATTGGGAAAGTAGAAGTAAAAGTACTTTCCCACGCTCTCTTACAAATAAATTGTTAAATTTACTGAACCAAATTGGCTCCACAAAACCAAGTTGATTAAATTGGTTAATTTCTTTAAAATAAAATATGTATATCGCCTCAAATTTACTCTACTGGTTTAGTGGAAATAGTTACGGTTTGATTGAGTAAATTCAACACAAATTTTTTTTAGAGCACAGAAACAACTCCTTTTATGTGTTCAGACAGATTTAATTCATAACAAGTAACTAGATGTTAAACTTTAAAGTAAAGAAGTAAAAAATATCATTTTTGGGTTTTAAAAGTAACTAAGTAAAATTCATGATTTAAAAAGATACATGGTGAAATTACAAATCCTCAAAAACATTGCATAAGTACTGTAACAAAGTAAATGTACTAACTCTGACATTTCAGGGGTTTAGACGGCAGTCGTCCCTGCTTTTTAAAATCCTGTCGAGCGTCAGGAACCATCAGATCAACTCTGATCTGGCTCAGCTGCTGCTGCGTTTGGACTACAACAAATACTACACACAAGCTGGTGGCACGYTGGGCGGGTAGGTTCCACGAGAACTTCACTGTGGTTCTTTGAGTTGTTAAAGTGAAATGTTTTTTCTTTTTCCTCCCAGTGTTTAAGAGAACAAAGGATGAAGATCCTCTCATGTGAAGCTCCAAACAACAAACTGCTGCATGTCTCAAAGGATGCTTAGGTACAAAACGTACAGATTTTCTGCTTTGCTGAGTGCAGATAGAGATCAAATTCTCAATGAAATAAGAAAAATAATCAGCTTTYTTACCGTGTCACAGTGGGTAAAGTGATGGTTTACATCTTATGGAAGTTTATGGATGAATAAAATCTAACTGCTGCAGAAAAACTGAATGACTTCAGTTAACAAAAAGCCTAGTCAGGTTTTATAGCAGGATAGGCAAACGTGGTTTTAAAAAAGCTTTACCCATAAATTTCACAACAAACTGTTAACCTGACCTGAAGGAAGTTTACTCACTGCTTCGGAGATGCTACAGCTAGCTGCTAAGGCTACTAAAGCTCACAAATGTGACCCAGCATATTGAAATGAGGATTAAGTCAAATTTGGTCAAAATGACCTCATCACATTTTTACATTCCTGCTTTAAAAGCTACATTTTTGCTCCTTTTCCACTAATGCCACTTAATGTAGTGTCGGTACGGGCCAGTTTAGGTACTTTACCATTGACGTTCCAGTCTTGTTCCAGTGGGTGTGTTTTGGGTGATTGGTGGAGGTGGTTTTTGGGTTTTTTGAAAAAAAAAGTTATTGCACAAAATGAGAGATGGAAAAACATTTGCAGAATAGGTTCTGAAATTTTAAAATTTTGCTAAAAATTTGAATTAAAATTGGATGGAAACACAACTAATGTCATTGCTACAATTGTGTTGTAAAGGCAGCTCAGACCCAATCAGTGACGAAGTGTTCTGACGTCACATTTTGGTGTCGACTGGAACCACAACAAAGTAGGTACTAAGAGGGCTGGTTCCAAGAATCTGGCCTAATGGAAATGGCTTGKWAGTGTACTGACACTACACTAGTGGAAAAGAGGCAAAATTGATACCTGGGTCATTCTGATATAAGCTCATCCAGAGATATGACAATTTGTTTTGTTGGTTATGATAATATATTACTGTTTGGTCTGAATCCTAATTTTATGTAAATTTATTGAGTCATTTTTATGTCAATATAAAGAGGAAATCACAAATAGTATTTGAATATTACATTGCTAAAAATTCTATATTTTAAGGTGTTTTTGCCACTTCTCAAAAAAATGCTTCAAAACATTTTTAGGATTATATTTCAGACAGTTCATTCAAATGATACTTTGATAAGGCATGAAATGATTTTATTTTGACTAAATGTTATTTTTGCACGTTTAATTCAAAACCCTGYATCTGCCTGTTTCTCCACATTCCACTTTTGGATTTAATCCTYGTTTCGATGTGACGGGTCACAAATAACCAACAGACTCTATGTAAACACTTGTGTAAATCAACACTGAGGCACCATCCAGTCAGAATCAAACATTTGTCTTTGAATTGAAACAGAGTCCAGAAGAGAAAACTATGAGCTCTGACCTTTAAATGATAACCTTTTCTACATGTTTGCCTTATTTATTCTTCAAAGTAGGAAATGTAAATATTATTCAATGACTAAAACTTTTTTTTGATCATCTTTTGCTTCTTTTGAATATAATCTATTTGAAAACCATCCTGTGACACAATGAAGCAGTTATTAAGATCTGATGTGTGAATCTGACCTCATCCTGTGTAAATATGTAAAAATAAAGCTGAATGGATTAAAATGAAACAAGTCACAGTTTATTACTTCATAAAAACAGACAGGTTATATACAGCAGAGGCATGCAACAGAACTAACACTGAGCTCAAAGGCATTGGGAACATGTTGGATGGGACTAAAAGGAGGATGAAGAGTTGTGATGGTCCTGGGGCCTGCTGACKAAGTCGAGGCGCTCGCCACAGATCAGGCTCTGAACGAGCCACTCAGGAGACACCAGCGGGATTTCCTGTGATGTCACATTTTTCTCCAACAGTGGTGGACAGGCATGGTCTGTCACCACCACGTCGAACTTTCCAGTAGGAATGTCTGCAGGAGGAGGGAGGAGCAAAGTGTTACCTCAGCTTTCACAGGATGTTTTGTTTTGAGGAGGTGGATCTTGTACCTGGGCTGTCCTTGTCTGGCTGGAAGTGTCGGACAGAAGAAGCCCCACCCATGGTCATCAGTTGGGCCCAAAGCTCTGCTGGCTTCTCAAACACGAGGAGGACACGCAGCGTCTTGAATGGGCTGGAGCGAGGATGCCTGGGAGGAGAGGAGGAAAAAAAACAAAGGCTTTGAGTATTTCTTCAAATAAAACGATGTGAAGTTCAGACACTCCTCACCATTCCACGATGGCATCATCCGGGCCCACGCCGGCCGGCAGCAGGTAGTTCCTGTAGTTCAGCAGCTTGTTCTCTTTGCAGCAGTCTCGCACCCAAATATGAGAGACGCAGGGCACGCCGCTGGCCAAACACAGCAGGTACTTCCTGGTGCGGCAGTGTTGGTCTGCAATGAGCAGGCTCTGGTAAGCTGCCTTACACTGAACGTGGAGAAGAAAGGTAGTTTAGGTAGTTAGGAGAGACAGTAGTTTGAACAAAGTCACTGATAAATACAAAACTATATAAAACAGTTTCATGTCTGTTGAACACAAATAGTAGAAAGTCTGGATGGAAACGTGAACCGACTGAAAACATCTGCATAGTCTACTCCTGTAGTGTTTTAAAGGAGCTGAGTGAATAAGATACATTATCCCAAACATTTAAGAAAATAAAGTCTAACAGTGTGAGACCATCTGATGTTGCTACATAAAAGCAAAAACAAAGTGTACATACATATATACACAGTACTTATGGAATCATTGCAAATTATAAAATATTCTTATGAATGTTTTTTCCAAATGGTGCAGACTGAAATATTCCAGGAGTTTTTTTTTAGATCTACTCAAAAACTAATGGATCTCTGGCTTTTGTGTGTAACATCAGGATGAACTTCTAACCCCATCTCTTCTTCTGATTAGTCTTGATTCAGCTCTAATCAGGCTGATAACTCTTTGGTTTCTGGTGTAGCTGTGAGGAAATGATACTGAGATCCAATGTGAAGTGGTGGTGCTCAGAGTGCTGTCAGTGACACTCAGACACATCAGACTTAGCTCAACATTTTTACCTTTAAATTACATCACAGCTCTTGTTAGCCCAACACCTAGGTGTTAGTATAAGTGGACATTAGAAAAGGTTTCTCCAGAAGCTTCTAGAAAACAATCTGAAATCTCTCCTAATAAGAGTGAGGTTTGTTGTTTTGGGTTTGGCGTCGTCACACACCTGTTCCTCGTTGAAGTCTGGCAGGATGAAGCCTCCACCTGCCTGCAGCTGGGACTCTGTGTACGCCTTGTTGTATGGGCCGGTCTGCACATAATCTGATGGAAACATACAGAAACAATTATCAATGTTTCACAAATTACAGGAAGTCAGAATCATTTGAGCGCTGGCTGCTAAACATGATCAGGTCTTCTCAGTAATTTTGGGAGCTGTTGTAAGCGGCCATCTCATTTCTCTGCACAGTCTATAAAATATATACAGTGGGGTGTGAAGGTTTGGGCACACTTGTTAATTTTCCTGATTTACTTTTATTAATCATTGATTGGATAAAAAAAAATCAGCTGGTATGACAACATTTTGTAAGAAATTCAAATCCATTTTTGGAAATACAACATTATTAACATTTGAAAGGAATTTCACGATGCTATGATGAACAGTTGTTGAGATATTTGCATGTGAAGCAACAAGAAGTGATGTCAACGTGATGTGAACGTTTAAAAAATGTTACCAATAATCTTAATATTTGAGACAAATTACAATCATCCTATTTACAAATGTGTTAACATTTTTAAGACTTCTGACAGATTGACATTTTAAGGCTAATTAAGGCCTTATTTTTAGAGCTGTTCAAGGCTTATTTTTAGTTTGAAGCCAGTTGTTAAAGAGCTAGAAGAGCATCTGGTTTGATCCTGTTCAACATGAGCATGCAGCTGATGTTCACGTCTTTTAAAGAGTAACTTACCCCAAAATTGACTTTTTTTTAGCTGATAAACTGTCTAGAATGTGTCTAAAATGTTATATAGTAC